AGGGGAGGAGGAGGGCAAAGCAGAGCTGCTGCTCCTATGCCAAGTGTACCCAGGGTTGTGTCTACAAAGGGGCAGAGGACAAGTGCAGCTGCTGCACCTGATATGGGAAGAGCCCTGCCCCCAACTGTACACGGAGCAGACTTGCATTTCTTGTCCTAGTCCCCAAACCCATTTGAAGCCTTCCTTTTCCTATGAACTATGTGAATAATAATACAACTGTTGACAACTTTCTTGGGGAAAAAAAGAAGAGATTTAATGAAATATAAAAGTAAATTCTAGTATCTCCTAATAACAGAATATGATGCAAACAGAAGACAGAATGAGTATGCTTTTTATGTACTTAATCTGGTAAAATCAGATTAATGTACAAAATCAGCAAAATGTAGCAGAAAGTAGAGGTCAACACATTTTTCTGAAAAAGTTATAATAGTTCCACAAATATTTCTGGTAAATGTTTTAGTCTTTATGAACAATACAGTCTCTGTCACAGATATATTATTTTACCAGCATAACTCAAAAGAAGTCATAAACAATAAGTGGCAAATGGGCAGAGTTGTGTTCAATAAAATTTATTTATAAAAATAATTGGCAAGCCAGATGCAGTGGTGCACACCTATAATCCCAGCGACTCTGGAGTCTGAGGCAGGAGGATCACAAGCTCAAGGCCAGCCTCAGCAACTTCACCAGCTCCTAAGCAACTTTAAAAGGGCTAGGGATGTGGCTCAGTGGTTAAGTGCCCTCGGGTTCAATCTCTGGTACCAAAAAAAGTACAGGCAACAGCCATAGATTAAGTATAATGTGTGGTATCAATTGAGTATGGAGTAGAAACTAAGGAGGTAGATATAGACATAAAGATATAAATATAGAGATAAAAATCTCTGAAAGAACTCACAAAGAAATTATTTGTCAATGTGCCTCTTGGAAAGGGAAGTGGGGGAAGGGTTGCGGAAGAGCTTTTTATTCTTACACACTTTTGCATCTTTTGAATTTGGAGACTTGTCCTGGTTCCAAATTTGCTACCTACTCAAAAATCAATCAAGGAAACAGCTTACTGTTTTCCAACAATTTAGGGAAGCACATGAGACAGAGGATGCCCCACTGGTGCTCTTACCGGGATCCCTCAAACTGGACCACACTCTGCCCAAACCCCCTTGCGTTCTCTTGGAAGGTCATTGGATTTTCAGTGTCCAGGTTGAATGCACGACACAAGGCAAAGGCTGGAAGGAGAATAAGGTGTTTAGGGTCAGGAGAGGAACCTCTACAGTTAAGGAAGGAGCACACCTTCCTGCACCACATACCGTCCTGTCCAGATTCACCCTAACCCATCATCAGGATGTCTGCCTCCAGGGTCTAGTTCTGACTGCTTAGGGAAGGGGTCAGCACATTTTTTTCTATAGAGAGGCTGATATTTCAAGCTTTGCAGGCCAAGAGTCTAATAGAATACATATGTACAAATATAACAGGAAAAAAA